GAGCTGTAATGACAGTTCCTTGGCTTCATCTCTCTTTGTGAAGGGCAGACAAAAAATTTAATATCTCATTCTGCAAACCCTGAAGCACACATTTTGTTTTACTACTGACACGTGATTCCGTTGATTCTAACATCTATTTGCAGGATGAGTGTCTTAAGTTAATTTTTTTTTAAGTTGTCAGTGTGGGCTCCCATAAATCCCAATTTTCTTTCTCTCTTATGTGCATAATTGCCTGTGGAAACTTCTATTCTAAAAGTCTATTTATTTTCCCCTATTTTACAGAAGAGAATATGTCTTGTTGGAGAAATGTTTCAGCAAATTCACTGAGCAAGATAAGAAAAATAAGGTGATATAAAAAACTTCCTTTTCTGTGTACTTGTGCATAAATAAAGGACAATTCTGCATATGAAATTTTCTGGTGGTTATTTTTCTCAAAGTTGTTTCACTTGCTTTGTTCTCCCACTAATGTATATGTGTATGTGTAAACATTTTTTTGTACAAAATACTAAGTTACTCAAAAAGGATTTTTACTTGTAAATAAAATGAATTTTCTGACAAATTCTGATACCAATAACTGCACTATAGGAAAAACTTTTTGAGATAGAATCCATAAACTACAAAGAGGCACTGACCAGGGGGACTTCACTTATTCATATTTTCATCTGAATGTCTGCCTATCAAAAGTAACTCCACTAATGCTTCAAAAAGCAGGGATTAATATCAGATTTATAGTTTTATGTGGATCTACAGGAGTAGAGCCTTACAGAAAGATGCTACTATAAGGATTAAATTTTTGAAAATTGCACCTATTGTAAGGACCCTTGCAATTTTATTTCTAGAGCTTTAATCTCAGTGTGCAATGGAAAATTCTGTATGTAACAAAAAACCCTAAACAGACATCCAACACAAGCCCAGCCTATATGTGCTGTTTCTCTTTCAATAGCACAGACTATTTCCAGTAATACTCATTTCCTTTCAATAGCTTGGGAACAAGTACTAGATTTCTCCTCCTATCAAATGAAATTCTTTCTAATTAGATTTATAGAACCAGTTGCCTAAACATTCAGATAGCCCATTTTTGCACTATCACATTTCCACATTTGATAGTGGTACTTAGAAATAATCTCAAATAGACCTTTCTGATGACTGCACAACTTATTACAGTACAGAAATGTACAAAGCCTTTTTAGGTGGCTTGGCATTTCATAAATGTTACCTTAATTCATGACATTATACTAAAAATTACAAGAATACTGTTCTGAATAAGCTATTCTAACAACAGCAAAGCTTACCTGTTATGTTCACACAAACAGTGGCAAAGGAAGCTAAAGGAGTCATTGCTACATTTTGTGCCCGGACTGTCAGGGTGAAAAACTTAGTTGTCTCAAAGTCAAGTGGTTCAGCGACTAGAAGAGAAGCAGATCCATCAGCTCTGTTTGGCTTCAGATAGAAACGAACTGGCATGTTAGTCTCTGGAACTTGACCCTCCTCCAGATTATACGTAACCCTGGGATCATCAAGAGGGGATGTGGCTTTGATGGTCTGAAGAAGAAAAGAGCCACCACATATGTTCATGAAGCACAGGATTGCAAGTGTTACATGTTCAGTTTGATGGCAAGAACATACACGCACATATGTCCTCCAAGAACATACACGCCTGTATGAATTGGATAACAGACAAAAGAGAAACAGTTTACAGAGCTGAGTTTCATTTTACAACATTTAGGTTTGATGCAGGTCTTTAATCAACAAGAAATTTACCTGCCTGTAAGTGCGCCAAGCAAGAACTGCATCACTGGCTAAAGGAAATCCCTTCTTTCTCCTCTTTCCAAAGAAAAAGCGATCCAAAAGGAGACCATTTCTCCATCGAGTTGTACATTTTACCCATCAAGAACCTAAATTGTTTGCAAGTGCTTGGATATTACATGCAGGAGGAGGAAGGCAGGAATTATCTGGCAATTTATGGAAGACACTGTCCTTAAAGAGTAAGTCTGTATGGGTTAAAAAGGAATTGATTTGAATTTAAAAAAGCCCAAAGCAAATTACAGTCATTCTATGCTCTAGTGCTGAATGAGAAAAGCTGCAGGAAAGAGGCGAGCAGGTAGCACAGGCCACTGACGATGGAGGAGTGAGGAGCTGGCCCTCGGTGGGAACACTCAAGGATTTCCCACACTGGCAGGGCACAGGTTTTGCTTCTGTGGGAGCACATCCTGATGGCCATTGCTGTAAGTAAGTCATTGGGAAAACCGCTGCCAGCTGAAATGCCAGACTGTTCTGCAACAGGTGCTCCTCACAAACTCTAACAGGACACACAGCAGTGAAGGCTGATAAAGGAACTGCGATTCAGTAAGGTTGCAGAGTGGGCAGAACAAAAGAGGAAGAAGTTGAAAAGAAGAGGGAGGGAAGTAATCACATTTTTAACATACCACTATCTTGGTGTCACGAATGGTGTTTTCAGGGATGGTTACCCAGTATCTGTTCTGCTCCCACCGTGGTGGCTGGCTGAGTGCATTAGTGACAGTGACCGTCAGCTCCACGGTGCTGCTCCTGTTCCCGCCATCTGTCGCTACAATATAGCGGCTAATGAGAGTTGTCTACGAAACAAAGAAAACAGAGGATATTTGCAAACCATTTTGTACAAACCAAGAGATTGCAATTAACCCTCTGCAATGGATTTGAGGGGTTGGAGGTTGCTCTGTTCCAAGCAGAGTCTCATATTACCTGGGGTAGTGGGCAGTTCACGTACACCCAACCTGTGCTGGGGTTGATCTGGAAGTATTCCACTTGATGCTCTAACATTGAGTATGTGACAGCAGCATTCACACCCTGGTCACTGTCATGAGCTGCAACACGGAGGAAACTCATCCCCACTGGAGTGTCTTCGCTAAGGAAGTCTTTGAAAAGACAAAGGTAGTGTCAGCAGGTCTGCTCTAGTTTACCAGGCTGTGTGCATAAAGAAATACCCCTGTAAAACATCATAACCTTCATGGTAGGTTAAATGTTTGTGTAATGAGGCAGGTTACAAAGTATTGTCACCAACAGAGCATCTGAAGTCCTCTTTTAACTTCCCTGTCCCTCTCCCCAGCCATGCTGGATTGTTAAGTGAGCTGCTGGTGATGCAGATTTACTGACACTGCTGCTGCCAGCACTTGTGCCTCTCCACAGCAGTGCTGGCAAACCCCACAGCTGCTTGCATGCCTGCTGCTTCGGATCACAGCCCAGGCTTCTGTGCCAAGCTGATGATAAAGGCAGGTTGGCATCAAAGGGAATTCTGTGTGAATTAAATTAATCCTGAATATGAGTGGTGGCAGCAGCACTGCCAGTGGGAGGCAGTAGGTAATCACAAAGCATGAAGACTCAGATCATGCCAAAGAGGCCTCCAAAATCCCAGTGTTTTGGAGAAGCCCCCCAGGGCAAGGGCAATGATCATTTTATTCCTGTCTCTTTCCTTAGGTCTCACTCCCTATTCCCAGCAATACAGCTGACACAGACATCATGTCTTTGTGCCCACAGTTCTAGGCAGATCATTCCTTCTTTGGACCTGCTTATATAATCATCGTCTAAAAATCTGGTGGCAAAGAGTCAACCATTTGAAGTGTTCATTGCACAAAAGAGTAATTAAGTTTGTCTTCCTAAAGCCTGATTCCTGGAAGGGACACCAACAAAATGATGGGAATTCATGAGCAGTCAGTTCCTATTCCACTCTGCAAGGCACAACTTTATATGAAGCTATTGCATCCCTGCTGGCTGTCTTTCTTCCACACTCCCATTTTTACACTGCTCTGATCTGACTTTGGTATTGTTCTTCCCTCCATTCTCAGCCATCCAGTCCCAATTCCTTCTCCAAGCAGCTATGGGTGCTTGCCTGGTCATGGTTTTGAGCTGTTTCCATGTACTAAGGTTCCATTAGCTCAGTGTATTGAAATGGTCCCGACAGGGTGAAGGCTCATGCAGTTGGGTTTAGACAACGCAGTCAGTTTATTTAATCATGGCTTGTTCAGAAACTGTTTCATATCTTTGATCTCCCTTGTATGTGTCTCCTTTAGCATTTTTGAGGTGGGACAATCAGAACTGCATACTACTTAAAGTGGAGCGGTCATGTTTTCTGTTTTGGCTTTCTCCCTTAATATCTACAGTCTGTGGCAGTGGAGCAGTAAAACTTTAAACCACAACAACTACTTTCTTCATGAACAACAATTAACTTCTCTTAGCCCCTATGTCATTTAATTGTCCTAGGATTCTTGTCCCTGGTATGTCAGTAACAGCTAAAGCTAATCTCAGAAGAGATTACCAGCACTAAAATAGATTAATGAAAATAGAATTAATTGCTAAGAAACACTGTAAAATACCACTTTTTGTGTGTTTATGCTGTGTTTAACAGTCAAATTCTGTTAAATTTCATTGTAAGAAAAAATACAAAATTACCTGAAAGGGCTGTACTCTCTCATTTCATGTGCTTTGCTTGCTGCTGGTGTAACTAACATTTACTACACCATCCCTACTGCAGGGAGTTAAGCATTTCTTTCATGTCTGTTTTGCAGGCAGATGATTAGATGCATGGCTAAATCAGGGATTTGACCAACATCCTAGTGCTGAGGAATAAAGAACCAGCAGCTTCCAGAATGAATAGAAACCTCTGACTAATGGCATTTGATCTTGTTAGAGAAGGAGCTATTTTTAATTTTGTGACGTACAAGCATTGATTACTTATGTATAGATGCTGGCAAAATGCTATGCATAAAGTGACCTCATTATCTGCAGTTCTGCCATCTCAAAGTGCTGCCTTTGCTTCAGGACCTTTGCTGGTACTCTGTGCTCATGGAAAAAGAAAGAAAATCTGCCCATTCCTCAGAAGTGCTGAATCGATTGTAATTACCAAATGCAACCTCTGAGCCTCACAGCTTTTGAAGTAAAAATACTGGGCAGTTTCACCCGAAGGACGTTTGACAGTAGAACAGAAAGGTTCATCTTTGCACAAACATTGCCTTTACCTCAGTGACTTGTCTGCTCTGCTCAAAAATATTTCTCAGAGATCATTTCTACTTGATTTCTCAGTGATGCTTTGGCCAGACTTGCAGAAAACACTGGTAGGAATGTAGAAATGGCTATTCCCAACCTGCACATTTTAACCAATTTGGCACTTGGAGTTAGTCTCTGCAAAATACTCTAAAAGATGCAACACAATTTTCTTTCTGTCCCTCTGCATAACTCTGAAGTGTGGATGTATATTTTACCTATTTCCTAGCAGGTCACTTCTCCTCCTTGTCAAACATCCAATCTGTTTTTGAACCCCGCTAAAATGCTGGCCTCTGTGATGCTGAAGACAACTTATGAGCCACCTTCATTTTAGTAAGGCATTGGTCCCCACTTTGCCCTCCATGACATTTCCATGCAACTGGCAAACATCTACAAAATGGAGTTGTCACATTCATCATCAATTTTTTGCCATTTTGAGGCAATTAGGCAAGGAAGGGCCTGTTCTAGTCCAACAACTAGAGAGTATGCCCATCATTTGTGGATGACATTAGAGGGTCCGAGTGTAATGAAGTGCAGGATTCTACTGAAGAAGCATCAAGTCAAATTAAATGAAAGACAAATGAAAAGCACATTGTGTGGGGATGAAAAAGGGAGTGCCACGAGGGTAAACGGGAGAAGCTAGCTCAGCAGTACAGTTACAGGAGGCATAAGGGGCTCCCAAACAAAGGCAGCCTAGAAACCAAGGATTTCGGGCTGTTTGACAAGAGATAAATGCCACTTTAGCCTATTCAAACAGAGGTGCTGTGCTAAAGAGACACAGATGACAATTGTACTTCTAGTCAGGGTTGATGAATTCCCAGCTAGGATGTCATGTTTTGTTTTGAAACATAAAATAAAAATTCGGCGTGGAGAAAAGCTGGGCCAGGAAAAGCTGCAAAGGGAAGGGACCAGATCTGCTTCATCTCTAGGAATGAAGATGGTCAATGTTTTTGAGAACTGCAATGAATAAAGAGGACTGATCAATTCTGTACATTTGCACTGATGATGGTTTAAGCAGTGACTGGCTTAGTGGGTAACAAAGGAAGACTGGTCACCTAAAAAACTGACCACTGCTCAGGAACTACTAACCAGGCTCATGTGGCAGTACTGGGACAGGTAGTTAAGCAACACTCACACTGATAGCGACTGTTCTCAAACTTAGGGTCGTTGTCGTTGATGTCAGTGATGAGGACGGTGATCTGACACACACCGATCAGCGGCTCCTGTGCCTGGTCAGTAGCAGTTACAGACAGCATATACTCCCTCTGCTTCTCCCGGTCAAAACTCTGAGTGGTTCTGATGACTCCTGGGAACACAGACACTCCCTGTTCTGCATGTCACAGCTTCGGGACTGAATTTGCAGAGAGGGATCTGCACATCTCCTGCACAAGAGGAAGCTCTGACCACATGCAACACAACTGTCAAGCTTAATCCACACCAACCCTGCAATGCACATCTTGGACAAGACCAAATCCAATTCTCCCATCTCTCCTCTCCTCATGTGTCGCCTGCTGCCAGCATTCAACAGCTTTCTTTCCTGCTGCCCTGATAAGGAGCTTCAGTATGAGCACCTTGTAATCTCATGGCTCTTGGAGCACAGAAGGGCTTTCTCCTTCTCATCAAAAGTCTCTCTTATGTTTATTCCAATGATAGTCAAGTAACTGAATCAGCTCATTACTACTTTGAGGAAGAGACACACCACAGAAGGCACAAGGGATGTGGCCAAAGTCATCTCTACTACAGGAGCTGGAGGCTGTCTCATTAAACAAATTAAAATTGGGCAGCTCCATCAATCACATAGCTCCATGGATAAATCAAACAATTTTCTCCAAATTTTCCACTTTTTCTCCCTACTAATCAAGTCTCTCCTTGTCTCTGCTATTTTCTTCTGGTTAACAGACTTCAAACTGGCCTTCTTGAGATCACTTCCAGACTTACATCTCTACTATGCTCAGGTCCAGAGTTCTGCAGCTCTATTGTAGGCCCTTTCAGTGTCCTGTACAGTCCTGGACATGCCAGTACCAGATTTTACTGTTTTAACTGTAGAAACTTCAACAAAATTTATGACTTTGTCATTTGAAATACATCATACATCAAGACATCATTGCCGTGTTTTGGTATGAGCGTTTTGCCTGCACTGCACTGGATCTCCTATTTGTGCATGAGATGAGAAATAAACTGTGGCCATATGGAAGGGAAGAACAAACTCAAGCTGTTTAAATCGCACTTTCTGCTCTGCATTTTTATAGCTACACTTGATCCAACAGGAGGGTAAGTGACAGGTTTTTATCTGCTTATTGAACTGGGGTTTGTTTCCCTACTTAATTTGCATTTGGGGCCTCCAACATAAGAAGGAAGTGGACCTGTTGGAATGAGTCCAGAGGAGGGACATGAAGATGATCAGAGGGCTGGAGTATCTCTCCTACGAAAACAGACTGAGCTGTGATTTTTCAGCCTGGAGAAGAGAAGGCTCCATGGAGACCTTATAGCAGCCTTCCAGCACCTAAAGGGAACCTACATGAGAGCTGGAGAGGTTCTGTGGGCATGTAGTGATAGGACAAGGGGTAATGGCTTTCAACTGAGGGAGATTAGGATGAAATTCTTTACTGTGAGAATGGCGAGGCACTGGCATAGTTTGCCCAGAGAAGCTGTAGGTGCCCCACCCCTGGAAGTGTTCCAGGCCAGGTTGGATGGTGCTTTGAGCAATCTGGTCTAGTGGAAGGTGTCCTTGCCCACGGCAGGAGCATTGGAACTAGATGATCTTTCAGATCTCTTCCAAGCCAAACCATTCTATGCTTCTCATGATTTGAATCATTACAACCTTATGGCTAACCATATACTCTGAACATTATCAAGGGTTTATCCTATAAACTGTTACAGCTAACCCTGCAGTTACACTGCTAAAGCATGAGCCCACATGAACACACTCATACAGTGGCATTTTCATTACAAAACAATGTCATTTTCATTTTATCTCAGCAACCTGAAGCTACTGACCTGTGTCTGGGTCAATGCTGAAGCCTAGTGAAGCTCCGTCTCGGTGCATTAGCCCATACTTCACCTCTCCATTGACGCCAAGGTCTGCATCATAGGCTTCTACCTGTAGCACATATGTGCCTGGAGGCTGATTCTCCAAAACCCAGGTGCTGTCACTGTAGTAAGCGCACTAAAAAATACACCCAAACATCCGACCCTAAATATTACACAGAGCCACATGAAATTGCTGCAGAGTGTCAATGTTTTTTTTCCAGCAGGCCTGAGAAAAACTCAGAAGAAAATCACTATTATTACTTATACTTACAAAGAAATCAATCTATAAGGGAGAGGAAGGAAAAAAGGAGAATGGAGACTTTACATTTTCTGTATGAAGAAAGCTGACTGCTGTTCACTTACATGTTCATTCTGCTCTGCACACACAGTCCCTTCAGCCTGCCAGCAATCACCAGTAGCTAAGGAGAGTCTAGAACTCCAGTTATGGATGGGAAAAGAGTATCTGTAGAAAAACATCTTACCTCTCTGAAGACAGGCTTGTTGTTATTAATGTCGTTAACTCCTACAATAACCTCAGCAAAACTGCTAAGAGGGGTGGGTCCCCCCGAGGCGTTGTCATCTATCGCAGTGATGTTCAGGGTGTATTGTGGCCCTTTCAGGTTGGGTGGTGGGTTTCTGCGGAGCTTAATGATACCTAAATTTGGAAGCATGAAGTGCCATTTTAATTTATGGGGTAAACAAACAAAATCAAGCGAGCATCACATTTCTCTGCCACTGTATTGTTGGTTCAGTTTGTATTCTGGTTGCAAAGCATAGGAATCTGTCATCCTAGTCTGCACAGCCTTGGGCCAGGATCCCAGGTTTTGGTTGATAGTTGTATAACAACCATCATATCAAAGAACTAATCCTCACTGATACAAAGCATTCCCAACTGCAGATTATACGAATATGGTGCTTTCTTACGGTTTTTGACATACAGGAGAAGCAGAGTCAACAGAGATTAGATGGTAAATAACTGTGTTCTAAAACCTCTTTCCTTACCTTTTTGGCTATCCAGTTCAAAGTTGCCCTCCTCATTGCCTCCTGTAATCAGATACAGCAGCCCATCTCCATCAGGGTCCTCTGCCCGAACAGTAGCCACTAAGGTGCTGGGACCAGCATCTTCCGAAAGGAAGGTTCTGTAACTGATGGACATACAGGAGCAATGGCAGCACATACAGTATCAGACTAACCATTGCTATGGTAACCATTAGACAAAATTATACATTCATTATGAATTTTTTTTTTCAAGCTTTGGACATGCAATCATGAAATCTTTAATTGGCTTAAGATACGACTTTACTCTTCTTTGTTCAGCATAGGGTACTTACTTTAGGATTGCAATCCTGCACTTTTGGTATACACAAATTCCAAAGATCTTTTGGAAGATATCAATATGCACCATACTACACTGTACTGCAAATCAGGATCACATACCTCCTAAAGCTGAGAAAAAGGACATCTGTCATGATGTGTTTCTTATGTCCCTATATATTAGTGGAAAGCATCAGATACTACAGAGATGAATGTAAATTGGTGTTTTGTAATTAAATATATGTATGTTTTCTATTTAAGATATGTCCATACTTCAAAGCTGTGCAAAGAATAGAAATTGTATTGATTAGGGACAGGAAAGAAAAAGGCTTCTTAAACAAGCAAGGCCTCATGAAATTAGCTTACAATACAATCTGTTGATGGTGAAATTAAGTTTTAGTGTTTGCTAACTACCATTGTTATCTGTCATCTATTTATACATGGATAATCACTTAGAGATCTAGAAGTCAACGTCATCAAAATCATTCCCTGCATGGTCAGGTCTCTGATTTATTCTGTTCTCCCTCTGTACGTATAAAGTGAATATACTGGTATCACAACTGGTGTATTTTTTTTTAATACAATCTGGAAATGAAAGTCCAACTACTAAAGCCTTTCTATATAGAAATTACCCTTCAATTTCAGTGGTACTTATAGTTGCACAAAACAACAAGTGACCGTTTAGCCAAGTATTATTAAGGTTACGCATACAAACAGCATCTTTTAAACCCAAAGCAGGAGTTCACGAAGCCTTACACAGGCTGGGAGAAGACGGGAGCCTCATCATTCACGTTGGCCATTCGAATCCGCACAGACGCCGTCCCTGTCCGAGGAGGGTGTCCTTTATCAACAGCTATCACCACAAACTCATACAAATGATTTGCTCGCTCAAAGTTCAGCCTCTGGTTAGAATTGATGACCCCGTGATGCGTGATGGAAAAATCAGTGCTCTGGATGAAGTAAGTGATCTCAGAGTTGGAGCCAGAGTCACAGTCTGTTGCAAGTACTAAAGAGAACACATTTAACAGACCAGTCATACTGTAAAAGAGGCTTGGTTATGCTATTTCCTATAAAGTCAACTCTTTGTTTTTGAGAACAGGCATCACCTAAATCTGTTTCATCCATAAAAGTCTCTTTTTAATGATTAGAGTCTGGGAACTTAGGAGGAGGCTGGGAGTAAAAAAAATCAAAACAATTCTTCCATCCCCTTCAACACAGTCTGAGTGATCACAGCCAGGTGAGTTTCCAAAAGAGCTGTGATCTCAATACTGCACAACATGTTTTGTACAAATAGCAGTCAACACTGGTAATTACCACACAATCAATATGCACGTTGGTTGAACATTATCAGTCATAAACTGTGTAGTCACTCTCTCTGGGGATGCCGTTCAAATTTAATTAGCTTCCAGCTATGTTACAGATAAAGTACTTTTTAATTACCTGGTGCTTCAAGGTACAAAGAGTGATTAAACATTCCTCCCCAGTAAGTGTTTATTCAGTATATTGGGTGTCCCATCTGCTCAGAAGCAGCAAATCAGCACAACAAAGAGCTAGGGCTCACAGCATGGCATCAAATGTGCTTTTTAAGAGTGGGAGCTCACCTCTCCAATTACCCTGAAATTTTTCTAGCCAAACAAGGAGACTTCACATCATACCCACACTGGTATTAAACAAACTCCTTATTCTACCAGTTGGATGCAGCCATTGCAGTAGCAAAGACTTCTGGAAGTGGACCAGTGACTGCAGTGCGTGGACACCCCGGTAGGGAGCTGCAGCGTCATCCACAGATGAAACAACAACCTGTCTCTATCAGAATATTAACTCAAAATAGGAAATGGGGAGAGAAAGATTTCAAAAGTACACAAATACTGTTCTACTTATTTGCAAAAAACCTCAGCTACATCTGCCTGTGGAAAGTTACTTATCTTTGTGTACAAGGACATTTAGGGGTGTTGTAACACTTTGTTTAAAATCTCTCCAAATCCTGCTGTGTAAACGCTTGTGTGTGTTACAGATTACAAAATCAGGGGCTTTAGAGTTGATCACTCTCTTGCTGTACTGAAAGACAAAATATATTAAAAACTCAAGAAAGTTTGAAATGACTGTGACTTAAATCTGGTTAAGTATTGTTTTTAGAAAGACATATTTGAGTTGAAAAGTTCTGATTTAGTCTACAGTCATTAGTGAGCCATTGTAACCACTCACAAAAATATGTTTTATGTGTTTAACTATCATACTCCTTTCACCCAGATGTTTTCTGGCAAAACAGATGTGATACTTACTTGTATATGACAGGAACAAGCCTTACTTCCAAACAGCAACTGGGAATTCTACTCCCATTCCATTTAATTCCATCCTGCAAACTGATGTGCATTGCAAAAATATTTTGAGGATCATATAGCAGCCACAAGCAGGTCTGTGCTGGCTCTGCCTGTGTTCTGAGTTAGCCTCGTGTGTTAGTACAAATTTGCCAGCTCCAACTCTAAGCCTTGTTCTGCTGGCATAGCGATGAGGCTGAAGGAGTACACTAATCCCTGCTGAGAACACCCCTCCATGCTTTTCTCATCACAGCATGTTTGCATGTAGAAATCTTAAAGCACACGCAGTGAGCACAAACCTGCCCACAATGACTAAGTAGATGGATTGACTCAGCATAGCATCTGCACTACAAACGTGATACAAGCCAGACTTCGAGTGTGCTAAAATAAAAATGGTTGACAATTAAAACCTACATTTACATTACTGATAGTTTTAACAAATGCCACATATCACACTACTTTCTTTACTGCCATCAACAGCAACTCACGCATGCCTAGAATGGCAAAGGCTGTCTCATATTTGTATTTATTTTTGTTTGTGGGACATTCTGAGGTTGCAAAATCCCACCCCTCAAGGAACTACATCCAGGGTAAGAGCTGTTTGTCTTTTTTTTCCCCCTGAGATAATCCTTTTTTTGGCAGTCAGAGTTAGTGGCACAGATCTCATGCAGCACAGGGTACAGGTGACTGCCCATACAGCTTCCTTGCAGCCACTAACAACCCTGCCCAGCCCTTCAACAGCAAGTGAAGGTTCACGCGCTCATTTCCACTGACTGTCACTGTACTTCCACCTCACATTTTCTTTTCTAAGATGGCTCTTTCTCTTGAAAACTTGCACATGTGGCAAGACAACAAAATGGGATGCAAATGCACAGCTTTGCCATTCTGCTCGCTTTGGACGTGGTGCATACATTTTTCCCCTGCAACTAAGAGTGTTTTAATCAGCTTTACAAGTTTCCTGAAGAGAAGAGCATTCATCTCTTTAAGGAAAATCACATGCTTAGGAATTTTAGTTGATCATTCTGATCAACTTCTTGTTTCCCAAGAGCCATTAAACCAAAAAATTAAGTACAAGAAGCTCTGAACTCTCTTGGTAAGCATCAGAGAAAGCAGACCCTGCAGCCCCCTTATACAAGGAAGCTAAGTTTCTTATCACCACTGTGACCTGCAGAGTTCAGCTCCAAATTTAGGAAATTTACATTACTGGCTTCAGAAGACATGTTAGACATGTAAATTTTTGCTAAGTCTTGCCTTGACACATATCCATTTTCACACAGTTCATAACCCTCAAGGTCTCAGCCTGTCTTCCCATTACTACCCCAGTACCTGCCCCTCCTTTCAGTTTGAATGCTGACAGTGAACCTGTGTTCTCCCTTTTTCAGGCAGAATACAGCTGTGGCATGTATCACAACACATCAGACTACATCAGATCTTCAGACATCTTTGAAGGCATTTAACTGACACCAGTAGAACAGGCTGGAGAATGGGCTTTTGTTGCTTGCCTGTTGGTCTCTCAGGACTGACACAAGAGATGCAACATCATCCAAGTTCACTCTTTATTTGTGCAACCATGGTATTTCCTTGAAGTTTTGTTTGGAACTTGGGGCTAAAAATTATTTCCAACAGCTCTGATCTTTCAGTAGGATACTATTCTAGCCTCTAAAGCATCACCTGTGCACTCAGGTTTTATGTGCAAGTATCACTCAGCCGTGTTAAACACAGCAAATGTGGGATGATGACTGGTAAGCCACAATCATAAATAAAAGTTCACAGGCTTTCCAAAGTTTTCTCCTTTAACATTTTGCAAGTCAGTTATACAGCACTAATACCTATTTGATAAAACTAGCTGCCCATCTAAAAAAAAATTCTTTTTCTCAACACTTTTTTTCTTAACTAGTTGCAGCTGTGTATGGGACACAAAAAGATTACCAAGATTAGTTGAAAGACAGCTACAACATTTAAAGGAAACAAGCTATGGCAATCCACTAAGTCACTGCCTATCAGCTGTTTTAATGGCTCTTGGGTACCACAAGAACCCTCCTTGAGCACAGCACAGTGATCCTCACATGAAGACACTCACAACTCTACTTCCAGGATATCTAAAAGCCATCTATTACCTCCAGGAAAGCTGCCATCCACATCTTACAAAGGCAGTGAGCACTTCCTCGTGGCAAGAACATGAAAATGGAACAAACTAGCAGGTCTGTGGCAAGACTGACATGAAAGGCAATGGAATGGTCCTCACCTTGCAGTAGAGATGTGCCAACAGGAATGGTTTCGGGAACATTGTCTCTGCTGTAAATGGAGCGCTGGAATTCAGGAGAACAGTCATTTTCGTCGGTGATATGGACCATGACCTGAGACAAAAGGACATGCTGAGAGGGGATTTTAGCTTCTACACTTCAGAAAATGGGCACCCTGTTCTAGACACTGCTGTGGCAGTCAGTGCTTTTGCTCTCCCATCCTTACACCTCCAATACTATTTTTCTTACACTACTCCTGTATCACAAAGAAGTGTTTTCTTCTCAAGTTCCAAGCAGATGGGAGGCAAAGCCAAAAAGAAATAACAAAAGGTATTTGCAGAGCGTAGATTTGAACCTAAGTCAAACCCCAGCTTTCTTCCTGTTCTATAAGGTCCCGTTCCTCCCCAACATCCTCACAAGTGTCCTAGGCTATCCATCAGTGTAACTGGTTCCACTAGCAAACTAACAAAGATTGCAGGGACAGTGGGTAGGATGTGAAGTGATTCATGTACCTCAGTCACACTGCTGAGAGTGCTCTCAACTTCCATGGCTTTCAGCAAGAGATGATAGAGATGGTGTTCACTTTCGTAGTCCACAGGGTGGGTCAGGCTGAGCTCTCCGCTCTCTTGCCTCACCCTGAAGAGCCCAGAGGGATTTGTCAGCAGAGTGTATGAAAGAGGCTGGCTCTGGAAAGAAACAGCCTCAACAACTGCTACTCTGTAAAGAATGAGAGAACAATTCTTTGCTTCCAAACAACAACAACAGCTGTCTCCTGAGCACCTAGAGGAGGAAGGTGAGGAGGAGGAAAGGTGTCTTGCTCCCTCTCTGTTGATGCTTGCCTCAGCTTGCATTCAGACTGGAAATCCCTGTGCTACAGAGAGTTGACTTACCCTCTCTTCTCTCACCAAACTTATCTGCTGACATAGCAGGGCTGGGATAACAGCCCATTTTAACCCCCACTAACATTAAAACATCTTTTTCTTTCCTTCTAAATATTTGACAGTAGTAACCAATTTACCTTCAGTTTCAGAGATAAGTGACCTACTATACTTCTGAGTTTTTCTGAAGTTGTATATTCAGAAAACGAACAGGTTCAGAGATGGATGGGAAACCCATGAAGCACAGAGCTTTTCAGATCCTGCTGTCCACCTTGGCAGGACACCAAAGATATGTTTGCCTCCATACAGTGACTTATGTTTTGAAGCTCCATCTCTCACACCAATCTCTGACTATCATGACAATACACTTTCAGCTCATCTCACTGGAAGCTCCAGGGAAGGAGAAAAATTTCCCTCCTCCTTCTCATTCAGTCCCTTTTAAGGACTAAGTGGGGCATCTCCAACAATTTTTCCTACTTCATCAGCTTATTTTGAGGTTTTCTACTCCTTAAAGGCCCTATGGCACTGCTCCACCTGCTACTTGGTGCCTTAAAGCCCATTCTGCTCTCAAACAGCTGAATAGTGACAATAAAGCCAGAGCCAGCTCAGGAGCATCTCCCCACTGTGAAGTGGCTTAGCTACTCTTCACGCAACAGCAGAGCCCCTTGAAGACTCAGCTTTATCTATTTGCACTTCACACTGGTGCTGCTATCTCAAGAGTCTGGCAATAACTTGTCTTCCTAAAAATTTAAGTCAAATGGGACACAAACAACTCCAAATCTAGTTAATTAAAAGCCTACTTTTCAAGCATTCATTTACACCTCCAGGAGATGCATAGCCAGTAGGCTGGCTGTTCTAATTCATGATGCAATGTGCTAAGACCCCAGAAACATTAAAATAATTCCAGCATCCCAGACTGCATCCCATGTTCCACTCTGGAGACTCTGGAACACCAGATCAGGCATAACTTCTTTTAGAAAACACAATGTTATTTTAAAAGTGTACTAGGCAAATGTATACATGTAGCCCTGAGAAGCAAAACTACAAAAGTTTCACTCTACTGTGCTCTCTCTAAATTGAAGCTCCTCTCAGATTGCAGGGAGGGAGCTCACCTAATAAAGTGCAACTTACTTTTCTCCTGCTGGAGTATTTTCAGGCACGAACACACTGTAGGACATGTTAGTGAACTGCGGAGGTCGGGAGCCTGCCAGGATAGAAATGGAGGCGTAGGGGCTTTTGTTGCCGTACTCATCTGTGGCTTCCACAGTAACCACATACTCCTTGTTCCATGTCAAAGGCAAGCCAGTCGTCATGATGATGCCAGTATCCTTATCCACTTGGAATCGTTCTTCACCACCTGTCAATACATGTACAAAGCTGGTCTGAGAAATGCCCCACAGCAAGAACATTTCCATCTTCACCATTTTAAGGTAAGTTATCCTCAAATCGTCTGCCTATGTCCCTGCATGCATTTCTTTTTTCCTCTCCAGTTGCGTACCTTATCTGTCACCCACACTGTGTTCTGATGACCAGTGCAGTGTAAAAGAGACAAGAACATGTAAGAAATGAAGCCTTAAGCTAACAGTAAGGCTGCAACCAATTTAAAAATACAAATAAAGCAAAGAAAATGGCAACAAGAAAGATTTCCATCCATGTAACTGTTACTTAAAGCACTTACAGCTTCTACTTTCTGTGCCTACTGTATCTTTAAGGATTCCCCAAGGGAAAAATCTATCAATTAAATTGTAAGACGGGAACTTGCTAAGAAACATCTACAGCTTAACAGAATTTTACCTTTTTCTTCAGAATAGACCTACCTGCAATGAGTGTGTAAGTTATCCCAGCACTGGCATTTTCATTGTTACTGTGATGTGCGACAAGCTGGTAGATGAGAGTGCCCTTTCGTGCATCTGGATCCACACGTGCCAGGTAGGGGTATGGGTACATGCCCCAGGACAGGAGTTCATCTTCTGGGGCAAAGAGTGTCACATGGCAGAGGTACCAGTCATTATCTGCAAAAGATGCATGGATTTCTGGACGGCTTGTTCACAAACTTTAGTCAGGAATTTTCTGATCTTATTCATTTGTATCTGTAAAAATCTTCCACTGCAAAGAACCTATGGAGAATTAATTACAGTATTTTTACCTCTAGGGAGACCTAAGTTCAAACCTTTTGGACTCACATCAAGTCGCTAATAGATGCTAAAGGTTTATATGGGCCTCTTGAAGAAATTTTCCTGAGCACATTTGTGTTCCAAAAGAGGCTTTGAGATTTGACTTCAAATCAAAATGAATATATTACTGAATATATAAAATAAATTTGAATGAAAAAATAAACTAAATGTAGGAAGGGGGGAATAGAAAATACATATGAGAAATGAATGTCTTCTGCCTGAAAAAATATGATCACATACTTGAACAAACTGCACTGAGGTTGCAGGTCTGTTAAGGACTACACCACTATCAAAAGAAACACCCACCAGTGTACTTGTGTCTCATACAGGAAATCCTTGATCTCTGCCTTCAGCCAGGCCACATTTCACACAGGAGCACATGGGCAAAAACAGCACCAAAGCGAGAAATAAGCCAGAAATTCCAAATAATTTTAACTGTAGACCTCAGGGATCTGACACTAAATAAAAGACTACCCAGAGATAGAGATATCCGCTAATATGCAAGACCTGTATTGACGAACAGCCTTACCCCACAGTAAAAATATATGCTGGGCAAATTTCCCAGAGGTCATCATTCCCAGGAAGGAAAGGACTTAATTGAAGTTTTGTGGGGTTTTAAAAACACATAAAATCATTTAAGACATGGTTTCTTCAGCTAAAGGAAATTCTTAGATTACATGGTTTCTGGTTTCCTAATGTGCCAACACTGCTTACACAGGAACATTGGTTAATTTTTTTTTCTCTGTATTGCTGTGTAAGACAAGGCACAACCCACAGCATGAGCCAGTGGCTCATGAGAGCAGCTGTAGCAGTCAGTAATTTATCTATAGCTGAGAGGTAGGGCTGAGAAACACGTCTTAATTAAGCCAGCTACAGACAGTGTCATTTTGGTACAGCCAAGTAACAGAATGAAGGCTTTTAGGCACGGAGTATTTAAAGATATTTTTGTTCATTCATTGATCTAATTCAGGCAGTTCTAATTTCTGTAGAGATGAATATCTAGTCAAGCATTTTTCCCATTTAGTCAAACCTAGAGAATTATTTCAAAAATTATAATTATACAGATTATTCCTTAATATTGCTTCATGTAGGTGATCCAAGAGTTAAATACCAATCAATAAAGAGGTCCTAATCCTGCTGTAAGAATTGTAAAACCCAGTTAAAGTCTACCCTAAAACAGAGCTTTTTGTTTCAAAAAAGACAGACAAGGGAAAAAATTTCACTGAGTTCAGGACACCATATCAGAGGAAATATATGTGTAGTTCAAACTAATCATAATTTTCTGGACTTTTAAAAAAAATTCACCTTCCCTCTCTCTGACATGTGTATTTAAGTAGAAACATAGAAGAGTTTAGGCTGGAAAAGACCTCTAAGATCATCGAGTCCCACTATTAACCTGGTACTGCCAAGTCCACAACTAAGCCTGGGAATCCCATCCCTGGAAGTTGATATGGCACTTGAGGACATGGTTTATTGGTGAACATGATGGTGGTGTTGGGTTGACAGTTGGACTTGATTTTAAAGGTCTTTTCCAACCTCAATTATTCTGTGATTCTATGAAACCATGTCCCTAAGTGCCTACATACCTTTTAGAAAACTCCAGGGATGGCAACTCAACCACTTCCCTGGGCAGCCTGTTCCAATGCTTGACCACCCTTTCCATGAAGAATTTTTTCCCTAATATCCAATCTAAACTTCCCCTGGCACAACTTGAGGCCATTTCCTCTTGTCCTGTCACTTGTTACTTGAGAGAGGAGTGACCACCCCCTTGCTACAACTTCCTTTCATGGAGTTGTAGAGAGTGATAAGGTTCCCCCTGAGCCTCCTCTTCTCCAGGCTGAACAACCCCAGCTCCCTCAGCCGCTCCTCACAGGACTTGTGCTCCAGACTCTTTATCAGCTCCGCTGCCCTTCTCTGGAGTCACTCCAGCATCTCAATGTCTTTCTTGTAGTGAGGAGCCCAGAAGTGGATACAGAACTCGAGTTGTGGCCTCACCAGTGCCAAGTACATGGGAAGAATCACCGCTCTGGTCCTACTGGCTATGCTATTTTTGATACAGACCAGGATGCTCTTGGTCTTCTTGGCCACCTGGGCACACTGCTGGTTCATGTTCAGCCCTCTATGAACCTTGGTAAAATTGTGACACTTAGGAAAGCCTCAGATCACCTCCTCATGGGATGGCTGAGGTTGGCAGGTACCTCTGGAGGTCATTCTGGTCCAACCACTCTCAAGCCAGGCTACCTAGACGTGGCTGCTCAGGACCATGTCCATATGGCTTTTGAATATCTCCAAGGAGGGAAACTCCAAAACCTCCCTGGGCAACCCAGTGAACTAAAGTTCTGGGGAGTGGATTTCAAGAAAGATGTGGACCAGCTGGCAAGTGTCCAGAGAAGAGCCAAAAGCACAAATAGAAAACATTAAGAGAGGTGGAAAGACCTGGAGATTTTCAGGAGACTACAAGAGACATGCCAATAGTGCTATAAGATGCTGAAAGACTGATGTGTGAAGTCAGTCGTTCCCTAATCTGCAAACCAAAAAGTAACAAACTCTCATTCCCAAGGAAAAGATTGGCATTAGATGTTGTGGGTGGGATCTCGGAGCATGTTTTTAATTATAAGGACAATGGAGCACTTGATAGTGTCCAGAGAGGTGAGACAACATCCATCACTGAGATCTTTAAGACCTGACTAAACAAATATCTTCTGGCAATCGCTTTGTTGTTGCAAAGCTTGCCTCTAGGCAGGGGCACAGTACCAGCAAGACTGTTAAATCCTTTCCATCATACATTAATTTCCCTGCCTTTCAGCTTTTGCATCTCATTGATTTCTGAGGCATACATGTCCACATGTCACTCATTCGCTTGCAGCTTGAGGGAACTCATAGCATAAACATTCTTTGGACCATGTGTTTTATTTTGCTGTTTGCTTAAGGGTAAGAAGTGAGGGAAGGAGCAAACACCACTCTAGAAACATCCAGCACCACATATGAAAGGAAAGATATGGGATGAGGCTCTAATTCTAGCAGGGAATAAACAGAAGAAAAGACAGTTCCAAAGAGCAGCCCAAACCCCTAAAAAAGCAGTGTTGAAGATGGTCTGGAGACTAACGAGAGGTCAGTCAAAAAGCACTGAGTTCCCCTATCACACAGAAAGAGCTGTTCAGAAGCAGCACTACGAGTATGGACATTTCTGTTCTGGTAGTTCCCCTTTACACACACATCAGATGTGAGAAACTCAAGGATTTTAAGGTGTTACAGACACATGACAATCAAATACTATGGAAAATTATCACATTGGTTTAAATAAATCAGTGAAACAAAACCAGCCTGGATAAAGTAGATTTTTTTCCCCAGCAATGCATTATTTTTTCAGCTGCCATAACTGGAAAGACATTAACAGATCAAGCCTCCAAAATCAATAATGTTTTATTTTGTTCCTGACACAACCACAGCATCCGATTAAATCAAAATGTAACATCACCATGTTGCAGCTCACCCATTTTGTCAATACAAATCACACACTGAAAGGAAGGAAATAATCAGGAAACCAGGCTCTATAGCCTGTGAAACAAGACAATCAACAGGATAAAACACCTGGCACCACACATTGGAAAGAGTCTTGGTATGATCAGTCTAGAAGGTAATATTAAGGAGGGCTGATTTCCCTGGAGGTACTGGTGTATCCCCAAGGCCTCAGCTTTAACTTGTGCTAACATCCAGGAAAGGCATGTTAACAAAAGGATGTCAACCAGTCACCAGTTAAGAGGAACCTAAGTAAAAAGGTTAGGATGTAGAAAGTGCAAGAATGGGGCAACTCACCACACAGCCACCCAAGCAGTGATGAGCTGCGAGGTTTCTGTCTTTGAGGGCTAAACACACTTCACCAGATCAGAGCAGATATACCTGCACCATCCTTAGACAAGAGCATGAAAGCAAAGAAAGAACTGGAAAAGGTTTTGAAACTGCGAGTGGCTATTCTTGCAAGTCTCTATCAATTCCTCGTTCCTTTAATCACTTAGTTTTCTCCCTTAACAAAAGGAGGAAACTTGATAGAAGTAATTTTCTTTTCCTGAGATGAGGATTAGAGCTGCACTGGCTGATGTGGGTTTGATGGGAATAATGTTGGGAAGTTGAGAAGTAAAAAATGTGCATTAAAAATGATAGTTTATGTGTTGCTTCTATGCCCTCTGCCAAAATGAATAATTTGAATTTAAAAGAGACGTCATGGTATTTGAAAAAGTTTCTGAAGTACCAGGCTTGACAGGACACCAAGGTGGGATGTCTACAAAGCCCCTCGTTGTGCTGTCAGGCTACACCACTAGTCTTTAGTGGTAGGGCAAGATATCAAGAGTTTGGCTCATTATTGAATCACAACCAGTAAATCTACACCTGACAAATGGTTACTATAATGCTAAAAGACCCTTGTCATCTTCAGGACTGAAACACAAAATTAGTTTCAAATGAGCTGTATTTCCTCAAATTAAAAATAATGTAATTGCCAGAAAACAGCTGATGCATTAAGTTAATAAACTTCTATCTCAAATATCATACAAAATTGTGTGTGTATATGCATGTAAATATCACTCCTTCTAGAAGTTCTATGAATTCGTCCTATAAATTCGCAGTTTTCCCTATAAATTACAAGAGTAATTTTTAAAAAACATATAATGAGACATACTGAAGCATATAGAAAGATCAGCATATTTTAGTAGAAGCAAAAAGAAAGAAAAAATAAAAGGATTCCTGTTTTCAGGCTTAAGTTGCCTTCAGGCTCCAGAGCCCCCCACAGTCAGGGCAGGTATGGAGGCAGTAGAGTAAAATGCTTCACAGGCAGTAGCTGC